CTGACCTAGTTAATATGGTTGGTGATGTAAGTGAGGTTTATAATACAATTTGTGAGAACCAATTTACTGGCACTAATTTACAAGCACAACATTCCAGACCCCACCTTCATATTCTTCATCGATGGATAGTAAAAAATGTCACTCCTAAAAAAGGACATTTTGATGCTGTTCCATTTTATAATGTTTATTTGTTATATTGTTTTGAAGTTGGATAAACATTAGATTTATGCTACATACTACTGAAGGAAATGGTGGTTGCAAATCTTGGTACTCTCAGTGGCCGGTCACTACCTTTTGGAGCTTTGCTAACCAAAATTTTCAAAGCTTATCATGTCAGCCTTGCAGATGAAGTAGATGTGAAAATCTCTTCTCCAATTTTAGAGTATACACTAACCAGAGCTGGTGGCACTGACAACTTATTGGGATCTATTAATGTTGCAAATGTACCAATAACTGATGATCCCGAAGACCCCAATGACAATGCCATCCCACAAAATCAACAACCCCAATACTGGATTGATTATTTGGCGCTGGAACAAGAACAACACAATCAGTGCGTACAATGGGAACAACAAATGGAGAATCAGTTCAATGCATTGGATAATTGGTTCGATGCATTTGCCGCCGCTCATAACTCAGTAATTCAACAATTTGGTGAGTTTCGTGTTGACACTGAAAGGCGTAATGAAGTTACAAGCAACCACATTGATCAGATTGACCATCGAGTGACTCAGGTCTACCATCACTACTTCCCTCCACCTCCATCACCACTTGACAATGACGCTTAATTTGTTTCGATGAGCGATTAAATAGTTGATGCATGCTATGGTTTTTAGTTGTGTTGCAGATGTACTCGTACTTTCTGTTCTTATTTGTTTGTTTCTTTTCTTTCTTTCTTTCTTAATTTTATGGTTCATGGATGTAAGCACCATTTGTCATTGTATTTTGTTTTTGTATTTTTTTTTCGTATAATTTACTGATCTCTGTTTTTATTTTTAAATAATGCATCTATCTGTTTATTTTTATTTTTTTTCATTTTTTTTCATAACCAACTCTTTTCAAATTTCAATTCAAAAAATAGTTATTAACAAATAAAATACTATTAACCAAACTGTTCTTAAAATTTAATGGAAAAAAATAATTATTAACAAAAAAAATTAACAGTTATAACCAAACTGTTTTTTTTTTAAATAACAGTTAATTGAAAAACACTGTTAACCAAACTGGTTTTTTTTTTGTTTTTTAATAATTTTGTTTTACTAAAATATTTAAAATTTTACAACAAAATTATTTTTGTTTATGTTTTTTAAAAAAATTATGATTGATTTTGTAGAACACCAATGGGTAGATGAATTTTAAAATGGTTTTTTTTAATAATTTTGTTTTACTAAAATATTTGAATATCTTACAACAAAATTGTATTTTTTATATTTTTTAAAAAATTATGGTTGATTTTGTAGAACACCAATTGAGTCAACTAAAATTTTTTTTTTAATAATTTTTTTTACCGAAATATTCTAATATTTTACAACAAAATTAATTTTTTTTATATTTTTTTTAAATTATGGTTGATTTTGTAGAATACCAATGGGTAGATGAATTTTAAAATGGCTTTTTTTATTTAATAATTTTTTTTACTAAAATATTTTAATATTTTACAACAAAATTATTATTTTTTTATATTTTTTTTAAATTATGGTTGATTTTGTAGAATACCAATGGGTAGATGAATTTTAAAATGGCTTTTTTTATTTAATAATTTTTTTTACTAAAATATTTTAATATTTTACAACAAAATTATTATTTTTTTATATTTTTGTAAAAGTTATGGTTGATTTTGTAGAATACCAATTGAGTCAACTAAAATTTTAAAGCTTTTTTTATTTAATAATTTTTTTTACTAAAATATTTTAATATTTTACAACAAAATTATTATTTTTTTATATTTTTGTAAAAGTTATGGTTGATTTTGTAGAATACCAATTGAGTCAACTAAAATTTTAAGATTGTTTTTTTTAATATTTTTTTATTGAAATATTTTAATATTTTACAATAAAATTATTATTTTTATATATATTTTTTAAAAGTTATGGTTGATTTTGTAAAACACGAATTGAGTCAACTAAAATTTTAAATGGTTTCTTTTAAATATTTTTTTACTGAAATATTTTAATATTTTACTACAAAATTATTATTTTTTGTATTTTTTTAAAAATTATGTTTGATTTTGTAGAAGACCAACGGGGTAGATGAATACCAAACTGGGTTTTTTTTTTTTTTTTTTTTTTTTTTTTTTTTTTTTTTTGTTTACTGAAAATTTTAATATGTTACAACAATATTTTTTGTAATAATTTTTTACAAATTATGGTTGATTTTGCAGAACACCAACGAGGTAGATGAATGTTTAAATGCTTTTTTTTATTATTATTATATTTGTTTTACTGAAATATTATAATATGTTACAACAAAAATAACTTTTTTGGGATGCTTTTTAAAATTATGGCTGCTTTTGTAGAAGACCAACGGGGTACATGAATTTTAAAATGGTTGTTATTTCTACGCCAACAAGAGTAGAGTTATCCAACTATTGATTTTTCTTACGTACAATTCCACGTACTATTATGGTTGCTTTTTTAGAACACTAACGCGGTAGATGAATTTTGAATTTTTTTTTTAATATTTTTGTTTTACTAAAAATTTTTACAATAAATTTCTTTTAATATTGTTTTTTTAAAATTATGGTTGATTTTTTTTAATAATTTCAAATGTTTTACACATTAAAAAAAAAGTCGAATGTAATAATACATATAATACTACGAAATTCACAATATTTCTTCACATCACAAATCTACCCATGGCCAACATGATTTTGCCACATGGCAATAGCAATTGCATCCCTGGAGTTCGATTGGTATGTCAACCCATGTTGTGGCATGTCAACATAGTCAGCTTGGCCTCCAATAAACCCATTTGCTGCCGCTTCAGCCGACATTTCATTATCAACTTCCATGAAGAATGGGTCCATAACCTCATACAAACAGATCCAATTGTGCACTACACAACATGCAATCATGAGGGGTCCTTGTCTTGTGGACTTGTAATTTGGCATGGACGACAATATTGGAAAGCACTTCTTCAGAACACCAAATGTTCTTTCTATGACATTGCGTAACGATGAATGTCGATGGTTAAACAATTCCTTGGGTCGAGAATAATGACGTCCATGAAACTCTTGCAAGTGATAGCGTTGGGAACGAAATGGGGCAAGAAATCCAAGCATGTTCATGAAGCCGACATCCACTAAATAATACTTACCTACATGTAAATAATGTAGGCAATGCTCTGTCAAATACATGTACACAAAAATCAACATTTAAGACAAAACAGTGTGTTATTTGGTGACAATCACCATGGGGTGGGTGTGGGAAATGCAGATAAGCTCTTGTAATTGAGTCAACTAAAATTGCAATGTTGTGGGCACTTCCTTCCCATCCAGAATTGATAAATGTTAACAACATGTCGAAGCCGCAAGCTGCGAGTAAATTTTATGATATCGTAGCTTTGCGACCACGGAATGTATTTTGTCTTGAGGCTGGGACCCACGCATCCACCAATGTGCCATCGATAGCACTGACACAATCCTACTTGAACCACAGAAAAAAAAAAAATTCGTTACTGTTATTGAAAACTTACATGACAAACAAGTAGTCATACCTTGAACCACAGAAAAAACTTCCTATCATTTAAAATTTTTGCCGGTATCTCATCTTGGTTACGTGGTTTGACAACTGTTAATGCAAACTTGCACAATGCCCGCATAATGATTTTGATGTGCCATCAAATATTTTTAGTGGAGTGTTGAAATCTATTGGCTAGTAGTCTATGCCGGTCATTTTGTGCGAAAGTGTACAAAAAAATGCCAAGCCATTCCTCGACACTGATATGCATATGTTCAGTTTTGACGAAGCCATTTTGAAGTAAGGTGTCTTTCAATAAAATGAATGTTTGGACATCCATTCGCATGATGTCCATCATTGTTTCTGGATGGCCATTTAATAAACTGAAGATGTAATCATCACCTTTGAATGGACAAGTTCGCTGCGGTCGTCTACTGGTTGACGGATTCATATGCTCATTCATAAAAGCAATCATCAAAAAGTCCATAAAATCTTCAATAACCTCATCCTCCTTTGATAACCTCTCAATTGCATTTTTTTCTGTGTTGGATGACATATTGTTTCGGCTGCATGACAATAACGCATAGTTGTAAAAAGAATTATTAACAACATGCTAACTATTACCATTATTGGTGAAACTAAAATAAACCACTGCCTACAATTTATCGGCCTTACTTATTTATCGAACTATATGGAAACGTACATGCGAAGAAAAAACATATTAATATTTAGTCATATTGTCATTACTACCTTTTCATATTGTATGCTATGTGTAAAATTGAAAGTTGAACCAGAAATAAGAAAACATACATGAAATAACGCAGAAGAATAAAATCACATCAAAATGTAAAATAGAAACAATTTTAAAAAATATAGAAATAAACAGAGAAAGACAGATAAAAAAGAGCATGTGTCATCAAGTGAAAAAAAAAATAATAAGAACAGCGTAGACATCATCAAATCATGTTGGACAACCACAAAGAGAACCGCAAGCTCGATCAAGCCACAGCTTCTCCCTTCACTGCAAAGTTAGGATCATAGCTAGGCACATATAGGCAGGAGTACGCATAAAAAACCTCCGCCATTCTTTGTCTTTGAATAGTGTCAGCGCCCTAATGTACTGGACCGGTGGTATGCCCCAAGCTCTAACAGGGCATCTTGACATACATCAAGAGAATAGTCATCACCACCTGCACTTATAGCCTCTGTGTCTGTTAATCGGGTACGGGAATGTTCCATTTTTGCCTGTACATAGGTAGTGAGAGTTGCACATACATCATTAAAGCCACTTGATCGTGACCTTTTAGAACAACCACTATCAGACTAGCTATTTGTAGGGCCCTTCTTGTGACTTTTGCCCTTTGATGGCTCTATGTACTCATCGCCGAATAAGTCAACAGTACTAAGTTCGGCCACATTACTTCCACCAGCTCCAGGAGACCAAAATCTGTTAAACATTTCATCCTCTTCATCAGAGTCAGGGGCTCCTTGTGTGGATACACAGGCCAAGGCCTCTGTGGCACAACAATTTTCAACAATTTTGGCCATTTCTTGAAAATACTCAAATCCTTTTGTCCTAAATTTCTTCACAATTTTTGCTGCCTACAAGAATTGAAAATATTAAAAATATGTGTTATGTACGTGTGATAAAATATTACAAAAAAAATTTGAAAAGGGTATATATAGCGATCCCGATTATCCCTTTACTGTTTTGTTGTTTTCCGGACGCGGTTCTGTGGAGTTGGTAGTTGTACCTATCGTGTTGTCAACTTTTAAACTCGTTTGTTTGAATTCTAGAATGTGTTGGGCTTGGTTGTTACAGGTTGGTAGAACTTTAGCTCCCATTGTTGTTGCCTAGTTTTTGAACGGTCCGCTCGAGCGAGTCTTCTTGCGCTCGAGCGGGGTTTACACACTTCCAGTATTTCGTGCCTCTGCAAAACTTCTGCAGATGTGTTTTCTACGCTCGAGCGAATTTATTTACGCTCGAGCGGAAGCACTCGAGCTGGTACTCTAGCGCTCGAGCGGGTAGTACTTTTTGGTGTAAGTTCTGGGAGGGAGAAATCTACGCTCGAGCGGACTGGTTTTCGCGCTCGAGCGGATGTACTTTATTCTTGTGTCTTGGCGCTCGAGCGGGCCTTATTGCGCTCGAGCGTACCTAGATTTTTGTTCTTGACGCTCGAGCGTTGTGTTATCCGCTCGAGCGGGAGAGTCGTATATCAGCTGACAGCTAGGCTGTTTTAAATCACTTTTTTTTTATTTCCTTTCTCTCTCTTACTTTCCCGAAACCGATTTTGAGAGCTCCTCACTCTAAAACCTAACTTCTCTCTAGGGTTTGATCTAGTAGGAGTGTTTTCCTCACCCTGAGCCTTTGTAAGAAGTGTGTTGATCATTGAGGGCTACATTTTGATCCGAAAATATTGGGGTTTGGAAGTTGATAGAAGAAAAAGCCCTAAATCATATTTTGATTGATAAATTAAAGTGGAGGATAGTGAACCTTTTTTTTGTAAATCTCTATTGATGATGTGGGTTGGGTGAAGGTGTTAATGCCTAAGGGGTTAACTTTGACTTTGGAATGGTTTGAAATGAATGTAGTGGACTAATGTGAGTTATGGCTTTATTATCAATGGAATTGGTTTTGTAAAACAAAAGGGATGGAGTTGGTTTTGTGAAAACAAAAGGGATGGAGTTGGTTTTGTGAAAACAAAAGGGATGGAGTTGGTTTTGTGAAAACAAAAGGGATGGAGTTGGTTTTGTGAAAACAAAAGGGATGGAGTTGGTTTTGTGAAAACAAAAGGGATGGAGTTGGTTTTGTGAAAACAAAAGGGATGGAGTTGGTTTTGTGAAAACAAAAGGGATGGAGTTGGTTTTGTGAAAACAAAAGGGATGGAGTTGGTTTTGTGAAAACAAAAGGGATGGAGTTGGTTTTGTGAAAACAAAAGGGATGGAGTTGGTTTTGTGAAAACAAAAGGGATGGAGTTGGTTTTGTGAAAACAAAAGGGATGGAGTTGGTTTTGTGAAAACAAAAGGGATGGAGTTGGTTTTGTGACAACAAAAGGGACGGAGTTGGTTTTGTGAAAACAAAAGGAAACGGAATTTGTTTTATGAAATGAGAAAAGTATCTTTGATAAGTATGAAAATTGGATTGTTGTTTCTTGAGTGTTGAACACACACTTGTGTGGGATTGCATCTTTAACTACCATGTTAATGTTGTTGTTGGGTTTGTGGTCTCATAGTAATTGAGTCTTTAAGAGATGTACTAAATATTTGCATCTAGAGGTTTTGTCCTCGGTCATCGGTGGAGGATGACACGGTTGTGTTGGAGTGTGGTGTATGCATTATACCATTATTGATTGAACATCGTATGTGATGAAGTGTTGAGATACATTATATATGTATGCTTGCTCGGGAGGAGGTAGTTATGTGTTCATATACTTTAACACATTGCTTGTACCTTGATGGTTTGTGTATATGTGTTATACATGTTGAATATGCCCTGTTGTATTGGATTGGTGGTGTTACACCTTGCGCTAAGAATCAGAGGTACCGTGACCTTCCAGCTAGCGCCTGGAGAACTGACTGCGCTAAGAATATAAGGCACCATACCCTTCCAGCTAGCGCCTGGTAAACTGGCATGTTATTGTGAGAGGTGTATCTTTGGCTTACTACGCACATAGCTAGTAGAGCAAAGTTTTGTTGTTGATATTTCAGTGTGTTTGGGAATATCATGGATTGTGTTGATTACGGTTTTGGAGGGCTGAGTTGCCTCATTGGTTTATCTTATGCATGTTGGTGAGTTGTTATCTCTTTTTATAACGGTGCATGTATAGATTTGATTGTATCGGGAAAAAGCCAAAATGTCATATTTGTCTTTTGGAAAGTGTGAAGGAGAACGGATTTTTTTAAAGAAACATATACTTTGAAAAGGTATATCTGTGTATGTTTAGAAAATGGAAGAGAGTAGTGGGCTTAGTGAATTTATTTCCTAAGGTATTGTTAATGTTATGAAAGATTGGGAACGGGGATTAATGAAAGGAAAAGAAAATTGAATCGCCTATGGCGTTGATTGAAATTGTTGTTTTCAAGAAAAGCTCATACTTATGATATTTTGTATAAATTGTCACATTACTAGTCTAGTATGAGAGTGGGTATTCATGATCATAGCTATCTGTATGTTGTTATTGTTGAGGACCATGTTGAGATCCCTACTGGACTATATGTTCATCCCACGTTGTTGAATCTTTTTCAGGTGTTGAGCTGAATGTGCTGCAAGATTTGGATCTTCTGATTTGTTGGCCACGGGGCCTTTCTTATATGGGCGGAATGCCATATGTGCAAAAGGGTTGCACCCTTCTTCTTGATTTGTTGTTAATGATGTAAGGCCAAGGGTAATTTATTTATTATGCTCATGTTGTATTTACTTGCATACGGATGAGAGCAGTGTTATTCACTTCTATGAATTGAATATATGAGTTTATTTCCGCTTGTTATCCCTGAAATGGAATTAAGTAAATGAAATCAGTAATACTTCGAGTAATAAAAAAAGTGGGGCGCGACAGTATAGGTTAATTCAATACCTTATCCCAAAATTCATTGGGTGCAACAACTGTTCCTACAATGGGATCCCATCCCAGACCGGTATGTGCCTGTAATCGCTTGAAGGTTTGGTAATCAGCTTTCAGTCGCTGATATTTTTGTCTCACCTGTTTTGGTGTGTATCGAAACCCATACAAATTTTGCAACTCAGTTGCAAAATGAGTCCAATGCCTAACTGTCCACACAGTACTACCTGCTGTTTGATTTTTTTGTACCTCATCTTTCAACATGTTTAGTAGCTTCATTTCAATTCTGGAACTCCACATTCTTGTGTCCTGATTGTCATCAGAATTGTTGCCATCCATCTAACAACACACAATTTATATCTAAACAAATCTGAATTGGATATTAAAAAATAAAAATGCAAGAATCATCTCTAATTATGTTTCTGTAGGAAAAAAAGAAGTTCATCAATTGAAGTTGTTAACAATGTTGGGAAAAACAGATACAAGAAGAAAAGGCAGATTGCTAGGAAAAAAATTCATCAATGTAAGTTGTTAATAGTGTTGAAAAAAACAGATATAACAAGAAAAAACAGAATATTGCATGCAAAAAGTTTGTGAAAGAAGTTTATACAGTAGACAATAAGCAGAAGAAGACCAGAAGACGAAGAGGAACATCAAAGGAGGTAATGGCGGTTGACCCAGAGGAGAGGGAGGTGGGCCGACGGTCAGCCGGCCAGCCAGTCGACTAGCCGGAAAATCAGTGGGACGACCGACCAGTTGTCTTAACGGTTGACCGGTTTGATAGATAAGAACCATTTCTGCTTCCCAGCTATTACATAGCTGATCAATTGAAGGATTGAAGGATATACAACTAGCAAATTGATTCAAGGATATACGTACCAGAGCAGTAGGAGTGGAATAGTTGTCACCAGTGACGGAGTGGGTACAGTGGGTGGATGTGCGCTTCTTCGGTATGCATTTGATTCAAGAATACACTTCACAAATTTGGCCTGACACACATAAATTGGGAATGAATTTGGGAATGTTTGAGGAAATCAGTGAGTTGTAATTTAAAATTTGAGAGAAATTTGTGATGTAGTTGACCTCGGTCTTGTCGTTGTTTCGTTGCTCGGAGAGTGAATCTTTCACAACGCACAAACTGCAACTTACTTGATTTGTGGGAGCTGGTAAATGCGATTTTATTGGTGGAGAGGAGGTTCACAGACATAATTTAGATTCGAAGGTCTCAGTTCACAGAGAGCAACACAACCAGTGAAGAATCTTGAGCTGTGATCGTTGCAGAAGAAGAAGAAGACCAGAAGACGAAGAGGAACATCAAAGGAGGTAATGGCGGTCGACCCAGAGGAGAGGGAGGTGGGCCGGCGGTCAGCCGGCCAGCCAGTCGACTAGCCGGAAAATCGGTGGGACGACCGACCAATTGTCTTAACGGTTGACCGGTTTGATAGATAAGAACCATTTCTGCTTCCCAGCTATTACATAGCTGATCAATTGAAGGATTGAAGGATATACAACTAGCAAATTGATTCAAGGATATACGTACCAGAGCAGTAGGAGTGGAATAGTTGTCACCAGTGACGGAGTGGGTACAGTGGGTGGATGTGCGCTTCTTCAGTATGCATTTGATTCAAGAATACACTTCACAAATTTGGCCTGACACACATAAATTGGGAATGAATTTGGGAATGTTTGAGGAAATCAGTGAGTTGTAATTTAAAATTTGAGAGAAATTTGTGATGTAGTTGACCTCGGTCTTGTCGTTGTTTCGTTGCTCGGAGAGTGAATCTTTCACAACGCACAAACTGCAACTTACTTGATTTGTGGGAGCTGGTAAATGCGATTTTATTGGTGGAGAGGAGGTTCACAGACATAATTTAGATTCGAAGGTCTCAGTTCACAGAGAGCAACACAACCAGTGAAGAATCTTGAGCTGTGATCGTTGAAAGAGAGGAAGACGACTCGTGAAGTTTAGCTTTAAATTTCTTTCCAGGTGAAGCTTTTAAGAAGTTCAGCTTTAAATTTCTTTCACGTGAAGCTTTTCAGAAATGGAGAATATCGAAGACACAGAGTATGTATCGTTATAAGCTTTTTACAGTGGAGAAACGAAGTGAGAAATCTGCCAAACGGGAAGTGGAGATGTATTTTGAATTGTATGGAGGAATTACGATTTGAAAATTGTATCCAAACGTGAAGCGCAAATGTGCGGGTGGAAATATATTTTGAGAATGCAACCAAACACTGCCCAAAACTTTCCTACTTGATTACTATTCAAAGCATATTGTGCGATCTTGAAAAGCCAAAGCTTCTCTTGGAGCAATGTACTCAAATTACTGTTCATAAATTTCTTTAACACTGTGTTTGGTTGCGGGATTTAAAAAGGGAAAGAAAAAAGGTAGGTGGAGAATGCAACCAAACACTGCCCAAAACTTTCCTACTTTAGGGGTTGTTTGGGGTGTCCTAAATAAGTGCACTTTTTGTATTTTTGGACTAAAAAGTTGAGAGAAAAAATATGGATGTTTGGGTTAACTTTTTGACTTTTATGGAAAAATGTGTAATAAAAAATTATAAAAATTGGTTTGTAGAGGAAAATTAGAATTGGGAGTTGTGCGGCCGTAATTGTTAATTTTTGGTAAATAGTATTAACTTTTAAACTTTTTAAGTAACTTTTTGGCTTTTTGACTTTTCTCAAACTTCCCAAACTAGGCCTTAAATTGATTACTATTCAAAGCATATTGTGCGATCTTGAAAAGCCAAAGCTTCTCTTGGAGCAATGTACTCAAATTACTGTTCATAAATTTCTTTAACACTGTGTTTGGTTGCGGGATTTAAAAAGGGAAAGAAAAAAGGTAGGTGAAATGTGAATAAAATATATTTACATTTTATTTAGTTTTACACATCTTTTTTTTTTCTCTTCTTTTCTAAATTCTTTCTCAAATTTCCCAACCAAAGCGTAAAACAATACATTGTCATTTCTTTTCCCGAGTCTGTGCAACGCGAGCAATGTCTGCGAGTCATTTGACTTTGTGTGCCTAAAAAGTACATCAATATTCTTTTAAGGATTGGGAATTCTGAGAAACAACTCTGGTTTGCAGTTTTCATAAATAATTTTGAGTTTTTAATTCGTATGTTGTATTTTTAGTGATTTTTAAAAATATTTTAATTATGATTTTTATCTTTATTTTTTAGATATACTTAATCTTGATATACTTAAAAAGTATAAATTTTGTACAAAAATTTTAGAAAAATTTATTGAATATAAAAAAATACAAAAAGATTATATTTTTTATATTTGGTGAATTTTTTAAGTCCTATTAGTAGAGAGTTTGTCACACCCCAAACCCGGGTATGACCGGCCGTGGCCCACAGGGCCTTAGCCCAAGACACACGTAAGCCTAAATACGAAACCATACACATTGAATAACTATAAAATAGCCCATTAAAAAATAACGAAAACTCAATCCAGTGTCATGCCACAAGTATAAACGGCAAAATCAACCTTAATTGATACCATCCAAACTTATGGGATAAAAACAACCCACATATCAAAATAATCTTAAATGAACCTCAATAAAAAAATATAAATATGCACAAACTTGACATAACAGTCTAAAACAAAATAAATGAATGTCCTAGAGGTCCATGCAATTGAGTCACAGCTACGCCATGAGTCCACTCTAAGTTCTTCTAACACTTGGAAATGGTAAACAACTAAGTCAGTTGATAGCTCAGTGAGTAGCAACATAGATAGTACATACAGTTTTGAAAACAGGGATCAATTCCAAAATAAGATATATATCACAGAAACTATATTGGCATACAGTTTGGTAAAGACAATCTGTTTCAAAACAAAAGGTTCCACAGTTCAACAGTTAAAATACTCATGTCTCTCGAGAACATGATAAATGACATTTTTCACTTAAAACATATTACAACATGAACACCAATAATTTTTTGGGTACCAAGAAATAACAAATAATATGCCATACAGTTCTCAAGGCTATAAGCCCCGTTGGATCCAATACCGAACTAAGAGTCATCCTCAGGGTGGCAACCTGGGCATTTTCTCTAAGACGATCCGATTGAAGGTCACCTAGCTTAACATAGGTCTTTTCCTTACAATCGTTGAGCACTAGAGTCATCACGGCTAAACCCGGATTTGTTCCCTAGTGGCCAGAGTCACCACACAAAGTGGAATAATTTCCCTGGACTAAAATACACAAATGGTCCCAATAATCAATACACATCAGTTTCGTAAACACATGGTAGTTCATCATTATAAACATGAGACCAAAACAAATAGTTTACAGTATGCCAAGTTCACACATGTTTCAAAAATAATTTGATTCCATTGATAATATAATAATTTATCAAAACAGTTTAGTCCTGAAACAACAATTTAATTTTCCAACAGTTCAGGGTAGGGGAACATTTATGAAAATATGTAGCATGAAACTACTCACCTGGAAACAAAATAATGTAATCCTCGAATAGAGTATAAAAGTTCAACTAGTGCCCTGAACCAAGTGTAAAAACTACACGTCACTACTAATTTAAAAATTCTAAAGAATAGGAACTAAGTAACCTCAACTAAAGCGCACTAACACGGCTCAACTCAACTTACCGTTACTCTTAAATATTACCTAAATTCATGTTCTTCAAGGTCTAAAACCACCCAAGACATGGGTTCCGATTGAAACTTAATTAAATGTGACTTTGAGATAAAATAGAATTTTTGATAGGTTTTCCCGAACTGTTCACTAACTCTGAAAATTAAAATCCCACTCTACACCATTCGAAAAATTCCAAAACTCTCTAGATATCAACTAATATATCCTAAGTTTCAAACGCAATTAGTTTTACTTGATTTGCTTATCAAAATAATTATTTACAATTAATTATGCCCAAACAGGTTGTTTTCTGCGGCACTTTAAATAAATTAATGGTTCTCTTAGTATACGGGAGCAATCAACACAAGGCCAAAAATGTAAGAAACTAGACTCGTAACTGGTTCTAATGACGCTGATTTGATAAATTTTCAAATTTATACCCAAAGAGAACAACACTCCCGAATTTACTATTTAAACCAGTTTTTTGGACAGATTTGAACGCATCAGTTTATATGGATTTTGACTCCAAAAAATTATGAAAAAATTCAGATATGCAATTCAATATGTAATTGATCTACTGTAAAAATTTAAGCTCAAAATTCATTCGTTTGATATGGTTTCATGATTTCTAAAGTTTGATGGCAGATTAATATTCTTAGGAGCAACATTATGAATTCAATTAAAATTTCTAGAATACTATCCCAATCAGCCAATCCATTCCTTTTTCTTCCACCAACTCATAACACCCACAAGCACCATAACTATGTAAGCAACATATTATAATAGAACAAGAATAGATTGATTAATACCTTAGAGAGTTGTTGAGACACAAGGGTGATTTCTCTTCCTCTCTCTTTTCTATCTCTTGCTCTCTCTTCCTCTCTCACGTTTCTACTGCTGCTGCTATAGTGTTGATTAGGAACCCTAGGGTTGTTATATATATATATATAAACAAAACTCTAAATAATTATCCTTTGTTTTATATTATTTTTTTTCTCTCCATTAATTTAAATAAAATACAACTATTATTAGATCAACATATGCTTACTAATTTGACACTTATTTATTTATTTATTTATAAATAATAAATTTTGCTTCTAAATTAAAGACTTTCACCATAAATTTATTTTAGGTTTTAAAATTAGTTAAACGACCCTCCAATAATATTTAATTTGCAGTCAAAGATTCACAATAAAATATTTGAGATTGTAATATTATTATTATTTACTAAATCTTTATATTCGGGTTTTTACAGAGTTTCTTTTTGTGCGATCCTGTTTTTGGTTTTGGTAGTTTTTTGATGGATGACTATACCCTTTCATTAATGTGACAAGTATGATGTGACACACTACAAAAAATTTAGTACACTTTTTTTAAATGTGACACTCCAATGTAATATAATGTGACACACTAAATAACTCTTTAGTGTACTTTTTTGAAATATGACACTCCAATGTAATGGGTAAGATTGTGAAAAATGCCGCCCAATCCGCTAAAATTGCACCGATCCGCACTGCTCTATTTGCTAACTGTGGTTTGAATTTTAAAATTCATAATCCGCTTTCGAAACTGCTTCGCTCTACTATAGTTAATACATATATATTTTTTTTAACCTCTAATGAAATATCAAAGTAAAAATGAGTGTGAGAGAGGTTTAAGTTGTGAAATTTGTTACAAATTAGTAGTTATATGTATGAAAAATATAATGTAAAATTAGTTCGTGTTATATATGAAAAATATTATGCAAATTAGTATTATATATTATGTAAATGCTTGATAATTGGTTAAAAATATTTTTCAATCCGCTAGTTCGTTTCAAACCGCCCAAACTACAATTTGCCAAACTGCCAAACCACCATTTGCTTTATAATTTTACTCTCAAACTACCCGAATCACACCCCGTACAGCCCTAGTGGCGGATATGATGTGACACACCAAATAACTCATTAGTATACTTTTCCCAAATGTGAAACTCCAATGTGGCGGGTATGATATGACATATAATGTGATGGGTATGATGTGAAACACTAAAAGAATTCCCTATTATATTTTTTTCAAATGTAACATTCTAATATGACGGGAAAATAAGTAATTACATATCCAAAGGACTAAATGGATCTAAAAAAAAAAAAACTATATGACCCACAAATCCAAAATATAAGATTTATTATTGGTCAATCCCCTAATTTTTTATACTAAAAATAAAGAAAAACTCATCTATAGACTGTTTTTGAAAAAGGAAATTCTAACCTACACACCTTTAAAAAGGTTGCGCCATATGCACCATCAGTTATGCCATTTTTTTTTATAGTTATGATCAATTTTCTTCTTTGGTTATTGAGAGAGTAATTTGTATAGCCAAATTGGGTCGAACTAGTTGAAAGTGGCTTTAAGGTTTGGGCTGTGTGATGGGGCGAGCAGAGGTCAGGCTAGTCAAAGATGTTTGATTGGACTAGTAAGTGCCCATATTCTTTGATCTAGCTACTTCCTAGAGACGGCCAATGCTTTGACCGAGATACAAGGGAAGACTCAAACTGGAAATTGAGAGTGAAACTTTGACCGAGCTAGGAAAAGAGCCGTACAATGTCAACATGGTGGCGCGCTGTGCAAACTCTGCACAGTGCTGTATGTTGCACGGCTAAGTCAGTGGTGGACAAAGTAAAGTAGTTCAGATGCTTGGTGGGAAGCCGTCCAAAGAGTTGTGATATCTCACTTAGCTTGTGAGGAGGGTGTTAAAAGATAAGTATTATCCTTTAGGAATGTGATTTCTAGGAAGATTCTCCAAAGGAGAGTTAGAGTTCAACTAGGATTGTACTATGCAGAACTTACAAAAGCTCAAACCAAATCTTAATTCCTGGTATTGCAATTGTTATTCCCGAATTCATAGAGCTTTTATCTCCTTAGTAGGCTGGTGCAGCGGATTCACTAACCTGCCAAAACCCCCTGCCCCGACCAGTAATTGATGGATGCGTGACACGTGACAGACGGGTGCGGGCTCAGATTTTTAATTTTATTGGGTTCGGGTCAGGTAGCGAGTGATCCACCATCATACCTAACGAACCCGACCTGCCTTGACTCTTTTTTTATTGGGTAATTAGACTAACACCTCCTGAGGTTTATGTTTGTTACAGTTCCCTTCCCTCATATTTGGGAAATTACACTGACCCCCTTGTCAATGTAATTATTTAACGGTGTTAACTTTTAAGTTAAAATGACATATTTACCTTTAACCTTTACATATATTTTAAAGGGTAAATTACATTGATACCCCCTGAGGTTTCAATTTAATACGGATCCCCCTGACATTTTAAAAAAAAAACTAATTTAATAAAAATAAATATGAAGAAATATATTTAATTTGTAAAAAATTATTTCTAACCACTTGAAAGAGAAAAGTTATATAAAAATGATAATTAATCTTCATTTTTTTATTTTTTATTTCTTAACCAAATTAATTTTTAATTTTTAAAAAAAATTCTAAAAATCAAACCATACATAGCCTAAGAATCTTTCGATAAGTCATTTATCACGTTGGTAACTTATTTAATTATTTGTTAATTTTACAATATTTTTACTATCTGAGGTTTGTTTGGTAACTATTTCGTTTTCAAATTTCAATTTATATTTACAAAAATTTTAAAAACTGCCATAAAAACTTGTTTGATAATTTTTTTGATTTATAAATGGTTGTCTCAGTTTGTAAATTTAAGGAAAAAAACGTAAATTCAAAAAATAAGTTTACGTTGGTTTTTAAACAAAAATTTAAAAATTTGACTAACAAATTTTTTTTTTCAATTAATTTTTTTTCAACTAATACTAATTGAGGAAGTAATTGGTAATGCTACTTTAAATATTGGGAAGGGGATTGTAATTTCCAAAATGTGAGGGGTATCAATGTAATTTACCCAGTGAGGACAAAATTGGTATTTAAAAAAATTAAATTGCTGACATCAGTAAAATATTTTAGTTGACTTACTGAGGAAGCAATGTGTAATGAACCTTTAAATCTCAGAGAGAGGGATGTCATTTTCAAAAGGCGAAGAGAAAGTGTAATAAACATAAACCTCGTGAGTGTCAATGTAATTCACCCTTATTTATTTATTTATTTATTTTTTCAATTCTTTTTACGCCTCAGGCCCCTTTTCTTTCAGTTTACCCTAATTTATTCGCATACCCAACAAGCAAACACAACACACGCAGAGACTCTCTCTCTCCCCCTCCCCCTCCGACGATCTACACTGAACCTCCGACAGACGATCTACACTGAACGGCGATCGATCTACATTGAGGTATATCTCTCTCTCTCTCTCTCTCTCTCTCTTGTCTAGGTAGAAGATATACAGATACCTCTCTCTGTATATTGAGTTGATCGTTTACGAGTAATTGGCCTCTGAGAATCTTCGTCTCTGTGTAGCGTGAGAGGGTTTGATGTATATATATATATATATATGTGTGGGTACGACCTGTTTTAAGTCTAGTTTTTTTTCCCCTTTGATTGAGTTGATAAAAAGACATGTAATTTGTGGGTTTAGGTTGCAAATTTTTGGGTTTGAGTTGATAAAAAGACATGCCCTCAGATCCTTCTCCATAGCTATGAACGCCTTCAGATTGCAAAAATACAGTCTGATTATTAATATGTTTTGTGAGAAGCAACAAAAGGATACTTTATTGAACATACAGTCTGATTATGATACTTAAGTGCAGTCCAATTTAACTTTCTCGTATCCCCAAATAGTTTGTAACTTGAGGTCATTGCTGAACCTATAATCCCAACCCCAAACCATTGTTAGCAAAAGAAGTCTAAACTGTTTTAACCCTCCAAAGCCATAAGCAATGGGACTGGAGAGTTGAGCGAGATCTAATGGCTCTTCTCTGTCTCTCTCTTATATTTGAACTTCTTCATCCATTTATAACTGACCAAGAAAAATTTGCAAGCTTTGTAGTCAAGTCTTTTTATGAGGCTGTTGGGTAGTAGTGCTGGGACTTTATTGTGGAGAGGTGTTTGAGGTGTGAAATACCTACTAATATATATTTTTTTACTTGAACGACAACTCATGGCAAGATTCTCACTATTAATAATTTGAGGAAGATGAGACAAATCTAGTGTTTTATGTGTAAGTGTAAGAAGGATGAATAATTGGTTAGTCAACTTCTTATTCATTGTGAGGTGGCTAATGCTTTGTGGTCCTCGGTTCCTGGTTTAGTTGGAGTCAGTCTTGCCAAAGGAAGTGGTGGGTCTCCTTTATTCTTGGTGAGAAGCTATGAAATACTAACACTTCAAAACAAGTGTTGTATCAGTGTCGGACACGCGGACACCTTTTTTTTTTTATGTGGGTGGCACCTCCTTGGTGCCTTTTTGGTTAATGATATTTGTACTTTAAAAAAAATGTATTTGTAATGCAAAAATGAAGAAATAGTTATTATTTTCAAGAATACAAAAAAAACTATATATTTATTTGTTGTCGTCTCCTTGCCACGTTTTGTGTTGATTTGTTCGAAAAATTTCATGGTTGGTGTGTCTATATTGTGTACCTATCCATGCATCTTTGGTATTATCAACTAGAAATAAAATATAATTGGAATCCAGCAGCGTGTATGTCAAAGGAAAATAAAAAGAATAAGAGCTGTGTTTTTAATTGCATCCATGTCGGTTCAACCCACCCCAACCTTGTTAATCCCGGTTGGCTTAGGCGGGGTGTGGTAGGGGTAGGGATGGGTTGGGATGCTTTGTGTGTAATTGGGGGATCGGGGTTGGGTTAGGCCAACCCAGTATGGATGCTGCCACGTTGTAGCCCTTTTAGAAAATTGCTTCTAACTTTTGTCCATGTTTTTTCTAATTATGAGGTTGAACATCAAGAGTTGCAAGGCGAATTCTTATACAATAGACTTATTTAGAGCAAGAGACCAAGGAACAATATATTAAGGACTCAATGTATGGTATACGATTAATTTAATTCTAGTTTCAAAATTAGATTATCAAGTTTCCAAGTTCCAACTATGTAATAGATAAAATCTATCCTGAAATGTACCACATTTTATCGTGTGGCACATTACTTTCTTCGTAACTTTGTGTACTCTAAAAGCATATTTGTCAAATCGGGATTCGAATTGTGAATTAAAATAACCTTGTACCGAATCGGTAATTGAATCGAATCGTGAGTCGTAAAGATTCGGTCACTTTTTATAAAGTACTTAGAAAAAAATATCTACACTTAGATGTTCATTATATCTAATAAATATGAAATATTTAAACTTAAATTAATGAAAATGTTGTTTTGAATGATGATGATATGGTCTAATAGGTGAGAAGTTAACATGGGTTCACATGTAAGATTAGCATGTTACATTTTCTATTTTTTAGATATTTTTTTATCAATCATTCTTAATGAAGAAATAAAGAATTAATAAAGATAAACTCTCAATTTTCAAGTAACAATAACTTAAACATTGTGTGTGACAGTTGAATTTGAAGCAAATTTATTGATCTATCAACTTTTTTTTGTTGTTAGTAGTTTTGGTAAGGAGAGATGGGAGAAAGGAAGGTGTTGAACAAGTACTACCCGTCGAACTTCGATCCGGCAAAGATTCTGAAGCGGAGGCAGCCGAAGAACCAGCAGATGAAGGTGCAGATGATGCTTCCCATGAGCATTCGCTGCGGTACCTGCAGCAATTACATCTACAAAGGTACCAAGTTCAACTCCCGCAAGGAAGACGTCATCTGCGAGGTATACATATATATGTGTGTGTGTATCTATTTATTCGTAATTGTTTATTGTTAATCTCTTTCATAGTCCTTGATTACACTATTTGAGAATTTTTATTTTTATTTTTTATAATTCTCTAAATTGGAGACTCTACATATTGTGTATTGTGTATTTCTACCATTATCTATCTGTGCTTTTTTGATATATCTGTTTGGTTGGGCGGACTATTGCCTAGGATTGGGATCAGGGGCAGAACCATAAATGTTGTTTTGAGGGGTGGGGAAGGTGTGTGTATAAAAAGATTTGACATAGTTTTGGTGCATGACTAACTAAAAATAATTTTTTATACAAACTTTGTGAAAATATAATTTCATAAGGATGAAATTAAATAAATCTAACAAGTCATTTTATAATTTAAAATAGTTAAAAATCATCTCATTATATATTATAAAATACTGATAAAATAAAAAATTAGTGAGTGATTTTATAAAATAGGTATCATCTCATTATATATTTTATAAAAATAATCTCATTATATATTATAAATAATCATGAAATATAAGAGTAGTATTTGAATATTCCAAAACTTGGGAGGGACCATGGCCACTGCCCGTCCCTTTAAAGTTCCATCCCTGATTGGGATTATTAATTCATAAGACTCACATTACACTGTTTGGTTGCAAATTTTATTCGGATTAGATTTTAATGACCATTTTATTCAACGAAATTGATGGATTTTTTAATCGTACAACTAGTAATGCAAAACATATATATAATTGGGATTATATATTTTCATATCTATTGCAAAATAAACGTGGACAAGAGAGAATTATGTATCTCACTAACCGAGCTGGATAATCAATCCTACGCTAATCTCATGGATTATTAATCCCCTCACTATTAGTCTTGCTAAATTTATTTCTTTGTTTTAGAATGATTGATTGCTAGAAATTTTGGGTATACCAGTAGAACTCGAATATTGTTGGCATGTAATTGAGGCAACAGTTTTTGTGAAAGAAAGTGTACTTTTTGGATGCTATTCATAGCTCAGGCTTTATCCATGGGACTTGTAGAGAACCAAAAGATTTGTGTACATTAGCATTTACTGGTGGTATGTGTTTAATCACCTAGACACATTGATCAGACTACACCCTTGTGGTATGAGCACATAGTGAATAATAAAAAAACAAAGTAGCTATTAGTTCATGCATGTTTTAGGGCTTGGTTCCATGCTGGTGATTGTGCATATCAAGCGTTCTAGTCATAGGTTCCTCATATGTCATGTATAGTGGGCTATGATGTGTTTTATGATATTTCTAATTTTTAAGTTAAATTATGATGTTTGCAAATCTAGTTTCTATGGGACAGGTTACTTGTTTTAACATTTGGTTGATTGTTAACCTTTTGGAATGTTATCTTTGGGTACTGTGATGATTATTTTTCTTTGTTTTTTAAATACATGTTTTTGACATCGAAAATCAGTCTACTTATTACTGATAAGGAAAACATTTTAATTAGTTTATAGTCACGTAGAATTTTTTTTATTTGTTAATTTGATGCTAGATAAGGACTAATTATCTAGGCCTTAAACTATTTTGTAGGTTTTTATCCAAAGAGAATGTTGTTCTGCATAACTGCCATGATTTCTAACTGATCAAAATGTCTGCATAACTTCTTGTGTTTTTGAACTTGTTTTTACATATGAACTAGAAAGTCATTATTTTTGTTCTAGAAAGAGGGGAGGGGGTTAGGGGGGGGGGGGGGAACTTGAAATTTTTTGCACAAAAATTCAGGATCTCCCTCTGTCTCCCTCTGTTTCGTCTTTATTAGAAGTTATTATTCTACCCTTGTTTCTGTGGGTCACCTATTATTTCCTAACTAGTCACGAATGGTAGATGTCTCCAATTGAGGTTAGAGGATTAACACAAGTTGTGTAAGAAGGCAACTATTGATCATAAATCTAGAGACACTTTCTAAGTAGAACAACCATATTTTTATGTGGATTCAATGTACCCCCAGTACTGTCACTACAAATCTACTACTGTTCTAGATGCCAGATTTTTACCATCTACCTTATCTTTTCTACTTTCACATAGGGATTAACCTGATGAAGCGATGTCCTGACTGAACATATTTGTAAAAGCATGAGGTGACATTGGATGAAATATCAACATTATGCTGTTTGAAAGATGGATACCCTTGTTATGGTTATAATATTGTTAACTTCGCTCTATTTGTCCTTATTTTTGTGATCGGTAAAATACTTCCTTCTCAGACTTTGATTATGAGATATGTATTACTATTGTTCAGTGAACTGACTGAAATGTTAAAACTATTTGCAGACATACTTGGGGATCCAAATATTCAAGTTTTATTTCAAATGCACTAAGTGCTCTGCCGAGTTAACAATAAAGACCGACCCGCAAAATTCAGACTATGTTGTTGAGTTGGGTGCATCACGGGTTCTGAAAAGCGGTTGCGGTCGCCGTAACGGTGGCGGTGACGTGGTTGCGGTTGCGGGGTGTAAAGGCCGTAGTGTAACGGTTGCGGTAATCGGAACCGTGAGTTTTTTTATTTTTCGCACAATTTGAAAAAAATTTACTGATACGCATATTTTTTTTCCATGATCATATTTATTGGGTTAGAAATAAATATTGATCAATTTTTGCAAATTTTTAAGTATGAACCAATATATTTCATATTTCTAAATCACTATAAATTGAGTTTTTTACATTTTATTTTAATAATTAATGACTTTATATTATACAAAAAATCAATCACTAACTCTTATATATAAGATAAACAATGACAAAAGTAAGAGAATAAATAAAAGTCTAAATATATATATATATATATACATATTTTAACCAAGCCAAATAGATAATGACCACACTTATTATTATTATTATTATTATTATTATTATTATTTTCAAACAATATATAAATAGACACACACAAACAAAATGATTTAGTGATAGCAGCTGAATAGAATAGCATAGGTCTTACAGTTTCAACAGATCAATAATATGTTCTTCATCTTCTCTCTTCTCTCTCTCTATCTGTTGTTCCTTCATTTTCTTTTTTATCTTCCCTCTTCTCTCTATCCCTCTTCCCCCATTTTCAGCTTTTTTTTTGTATTTTTTTTAAAGAAACAGTTTGGCACCGTTACGTAACGGTGCGTAACAGGCCGTTATGGCTGTTACGGCACCGTTACGACCGCTACGGCAGCCGCTACAGCTGACACACCTGTGAATCTCAATCACACTGCAAAAGCGGCCGTAACAGGTGGCGGTAACCACCAAAACCGTTACGTAATGGTTGCGGCCGCTTTTTAAAACCTTGCTTGACTGAACATATTTGTAAAAGCATGAGGTGACATTGGATGAAATATCAACATTATGCTGTTTGAAAGATGGATACCCTTGTTATGGTTATAATATTGTTAACTTCACTCTATTTGTCCTTATTTCTGTGATCGGTAAAATACTTCCTTTTCAGACTTCGATTATGAGATATGTATTATTACTATTGTTCAGTGAACTGACTGAAATGTTAAAACTATTTGCAGACATACTTGGGGATCCAAATATTCAAGTTTTATTTCAAATGCACTAAGTGCTCTGCTGAGTTAACAATAAAGACCGACCCGCAAAATTCAGACTATGTTGTTGAGTTGGGTGCATCACGGAATTTCGAACCTTGGCGTGCAGTGGATGAGGTATTAAGTTAGCGTGTCATATACAGCTTTCTATTTCATCTTTAGATCTCTTTATTTTGTTGCATTCATGATTTTGATTTTGGCTTCTTATATAATTTGTACATTGCTCTCTTTGTTAGGAAGCAAATAAGGAAAAACAAAAAAGGGAAACTGAAGAGATGGAAGATGCAATGAAATCCTTGGAGAATAGAACCTTGGATTCAAAAAGAGAGATGGACATCCTTGCTGCCCTGGATGAAGTGAAGTCCATGAGGGTACTTGCTTAGTCAAATAACTAATATGTAGTGAACATAATAAACATATATTAAGAGGGTATGTTGATAATCAATATATAAAAAATTTGGGGGTTCAGGGAGGGGATGCCCTATTTTCGACCTTGAGCAGATTAGTTTTATTAATCCCCAACCCCAATTAACCCCAACTCATACCCAATAGAGTCAGGCAGGGCCGGGGCTGGAATTCTAGACGTATTGAGAATAACTTAATGATTTAGCTACTGAATTCATGGTCTTATTAACTTCATAGGTTGGTAAACTTATTTTGGATTAAAATGTCAATTTGCCTGACATATGGGATCATTACCTAAGTGTGTGAAAGTCAGTTGTTTTATTCATTTTACTCAGATGTGAACTTGAATTTATATTTTAATCATACTAAAACAAGTCTTCTTTCTGCTTTTTCAGTCAAGACAAGCAACTATCAGTGTAGATGCAATGCTGGAGGTCTTGCAGCGCTCAGCTGAGGAAAAGGTAAGGTCATTTATGCTAGTTCATTATTTCAACCTTTTGGGTGTAAATGCATTTTGTGTAGGCCTTGAACAATGAAGCCCAATTGCCATTTTGGTCACTTTTGTGATGTACTAGATTTATGTGAATGGCAGCAGCAGTATCTAATGTGGGATTGAATTTATGTTTAGCTGGCAATACTATTTTATACTGCCTGAAATAAGCATGTAGTTTGATCATTTTTTTGGATGGGCTGCATTCAAGTAATCTTCAACTCACTTTTGAACATAATAGGTTTTGATTCAGGTTGCCTCCTTAACTCATTGAACTGAAAATTAACACAAGTAATAAGTTCTAGATATATATATATTAAAGTCTTTGAATGTCTCTTTTTCTTCTTTTGAGATAAGTTAGTTAAATGGCTGGTTTGGCATGCCTACCTAAAATCTGTTCAGTGTTAAGGCTAGGCACTGTCTGTATTGATCTGACGAAAATTTGATGGGGCTCAAATTCAAAAGCGAACTATAATTTTGCTGGAATTTGAGCTTCAGTATTTCTATACTTTAAACTGTTGGACCAATTGATTTCATAACAAATCATCCTGAGGTATAGCTATTTGATTACATCATAGCTGCAGTGTGAATTTGTCAAGGCAGCATAGGAACTCAAACATGTGAATTTGGATACTATTTTATCACCATCAGGTCTTACTAAGTCTTGGGATTTTTTTTGTCAACAGGAAAAGAAGTTGGAAGAAGAGGACGAAGCACTCATAAAATCATTATTTGGAGTGAGTATATCATTGTCCAACTACTGCTACTTTGCCATATTGCTGCCTCTGTTTTCTGGTAGTTTGTACTCAGTGAGATTTACTTGGTGTCAAAATTCTTTCTCAGGCACCAAGAGAGGTCGTTCGCAGGATCGATGATGATATTCTTGATGATGATGAAGATTTATCTCAGATTTCAACTGACAATGCTGAAACATCAAAAAATAATTCAAAAGTATGATCCTTTACTAATAATTTGGTTGTATGATCTATATGTATCTAATTGTTTGAAAAATGACAAAAGGATAAAAAAGGATGAAGATTTTAAGTGGTATAAATTGGCGAATAAGGAGGTTAGAAGGATAATTAGGGATGCTAAGCTAAAAGCCTACTCCAATCTTTATTCTAGATTAGATAGTAAAGATGGAGAAAATAATATTTATAAATTTCCTAAATTGAGAGAAATGAAGACACTTAATCAGGTCAAGTATATAACAGTGAGGATTTGAAGGTGTTAATCAAGGATGAGGAGGTTAAGGAAAGTCGAAAAAATTATTTTTAGAAACTGTTAAATAAAAATCATTTAGAAAATCTAAGAGTAGAGGAATATGATAGCTTTGATGGGACTAGAGACTATAGGTTTTATTGTTGACTAAGAGAGTTTGAGGTGTAACTTGCACCGAAGAAGATGAAATTAGGTAAGCATTAGGATCAAGCCGTATCCTTATTGAGGCTTTAAAATGCTTAGGTAAGGAGGGGTGTCTTGGTTAACACAGTTCGTTAATAAGATTCTAATGGCTAGGAAAATACATGATGAGTGGAGAAAAATGAGATATCCAAAATCGCAACAATTATAGAGACATTCAGTTCATGATTCATACTATGAAATTGTGGGAGAGAGTGATTGAGCATCTCTTAAGGGTTACAACAACAATGTTCTTTAATCAATTTGAGTTTATGTTTGGTAGATCAACTAAAGAAGCGATATATTGACTAAGAAGAATAATAGAAAAGTACATTGAGAAAATGAGGGATCTACATATGTTTTTTTTTTAGATTTTGAATAAGTTTACAATAGGATGCCTAAAAATATAATATGGTTGGTGTTGGAAAAAAAGAGTGTGACCAAAGGGTATAAGGATGCGATAAAAAACATGTATGATGGGGGTTGTGGCTACTATTAGATCACCTACAACCTACAGGGGAAACTAGTGAATTTTCAATTACTCCTTTACCTATTTGCCTTAGTAATGGCTGAATTAACTAAATGCACCTACAACCTACAGGGAAAAATAGTGAATTTTCAATTACTCCTTACCTATTTGCCTTAGCAATGGCTGAATTAACTAAATGCATGTAGGATGATATCCTATGTTGTATGTTGTTTTGAAGGATATCCATTAGGATGAAACCAAGGAAGAAGTTAACAGTTCTTTCTTTTTTATTTCATTCAAAGCTTCCTAAGGACACTTTCTAACATCTAGCATATCTAAACAATTGGAAACCATATTTGTTAGTTCCAAATACCTTCAATATATTTTCACTCTGAAGGCTTTTGGGAAGCTTACTTTAGGAGTAGTAGAGGGAAAGACTACAGAAAAGCTATTTTTACAATTTCTGACATTGAGAGGCTAGTGAACCATACAAATCATGAAATTATTTTACGCCACATAGTTTCACGTGTCATCTCTATGATATGAGATTCAACGAGTGATTCATATCGAAAATGGTGTTCAAACTATCTGAATTGTAAGATTGAATTCACAAATTGTAACGTTTTGACAATTACGCTTTGTGATGGATTCATTTTATTTGTGCCATGTCCCTTGCTAAACTTTTAAATGTAGGCTTTAAGGTTATGTTAGTCTTGGGCTAAATTTGTTTTTAAAAACACACAACAGGATGGCATAGAGGAAAAGAGGCTAGTGAACCATACAAATCATGAAATTATTTTACGTCACATAGTTTCACGTGTCATCTCTATGATATGAGATTCAACGAGTGATTCATATCGAAAATGGTGTTCAAACTATCTGAATTGTAAGATTGAATTCACAAATTGTAACATTTTGACAATTACGCTTTGTGATGGATTCATTTTATTTGTGCCATGTCCCTTGCTAAACTTTTAAATGTAGGCTTTAAGGTTATGTTAGTCTTGGGCTAAATTTGTTTTTAAAAACACACAACAGGATGGCATAGAGGAAAAGTCTAGGCATTAACTTCATCATAAGGAAGATTTCAAATTTCAAATTTTCTACAATACGTGTGGAAGGAACCTGATGATAGCAAATTTGATTCTTCTGTATCAATTGCTAGTTAACCCTGTGCATGTTGCTGTTAGTAGAAATGGTGTGATACTTTATTGAAAGCTGAATATATTGGACACTTCTTTTATGCCATAAACTGATGCAGCATACATACTTCTGCTCTTAAACTTATAATTCTAGGTTGTGAATTAAATGTCATATTCTTCTGCTCCTGCCTCCTCTCCCCACACCCACATTTCTTTTCATGCTTCCAAGTAAGGGTCTGTCATACACATTCAAGGAGCACTCATTGAAATCAAAGTTGGTGTTTACAATGAAAATACTGTTGTACTTGAAACAAAAAATGAATAAATCAATAAACTTTATGAATTTTATGCATTTGTTACTAAGTTCATTATGTTTCTTATGCAGAGGAGAAAGGTTTCTGAAGAACTTCCTACTAATAGGTTTCTGAAGAACTTCCCACTTAGCCAACAGATAATCTGACGGAAACAAGTTACAATTCCAAGAATGAAGGTTGTTAAGTTGGTCCAAATAATTCTTAGTGGGTGTTTGGGAAGTTGCTATTTTAGGAGGCTAAAATTTGTGTTTGGTAGTTGGATTTTTTTTTTTATAGTTGAATGTGATGTTTGTGAGAGAAAAAGTGAAATGATTATGAGTTTGATGTGATATTTTGTCGTATTGGCTATTTTAGCTTATTTGGTCTTTTAGTGCTATTTTAGCCAAAAAAGCTAAAAAAGTTTCTAAACACCCCTTTAGATTTTGTTTTTTAATGTTTGCAAGGTTTCATTTGATTGATTGTTATCTGTTATCTCTTATTATGCATGCGTAGCAAGTTAGCAACCTATCATGCCCTTACGGAATTCTCCAAAATATCCAGAGGAGAGCATGAAAGAAAGAGAGGCTAATGGAAGAATTTAGAGTTCCCTAGCAAACTATCACTATAATAAAATTGAATTTTTACGGCTTGCAATGCATGCCGTAAATACTCTTTCACGGCATGCACACAAATGCTGTTATATGACATGCCGTAGAAAGTTGAACGTTCTTTACGGCATGAACTCCCTAGCAAACTATCACTATAACAAAATTAAATTTTTACGGCTTGCAATGCATGTCGTAAATACTCTTTTATGGCATGCACACAAATGTTGTTATATGGCATGTCGTGGAAAGTTGAACGTCCTTTACGGCATGCAGGTAAAGTTGTAAAAAATAATAAATTAAATATTAATGACATACTTTGTATGTCGTATATAATTTTTTACGATATTTTTGGAGTAGATTGGATCTTTGGGAGGGATTGGTACCCTACACTCAAAGACAAACATGCAAGTGATTTAAATATAAAATAACAAATGATTTGAATCAAAATTTATTTGAATTAAATCATCAAACATTATACTGTCATGTTTAGCTTTTCCTTTTACATCATTTTGCTTTCTTTCTTTGATAAGCATGGCTCTTATCTCATCGAGTTGCTGTTCTAAGTCAAGCACCTTGCCTTCAAGTTTTTTCACGTGCTCATTTTGGTGTACTTGTGCATCAACCTTAGATGGTAATGCCCTAAATCCCAACCCTCGTACACTCCTACGACGCTCGAGACCAAAAGTATACAAATCACATCATGTTTTATAGATTTTGGAACCTCATCAGTAAAAGCCTTATGAAGTAAAAAAAAAAAAAAGAATATTGGTACCGTAGTTGCATCAAAGCACTTCATTCGTGGATTTTCCTTCCTCGTATGCCTTTTAATCCAAACATCAACTCTTGATGTTGATGATGGTGCTTGACTTTCTCTTCTCTAGAAAATAAAACAGAAAATGAAAATCAACATTATTAAAACAATTTCATAGTAACCATACTTCATACCCAATTTACAAACTACTTGAATCACTCTTAAATTTACCCTTTACGACTCATGGTGCGTAAGAGGGTTTGTTTTTTTTCTCATTTCCCTAAATCTTTTACTCTTTTCCTACATATACAGAACATAATTTATATGATTAATAGTTCATAATAAAAAGTGATATACACCTCACCTTTCAAATGCGTACATCCAACGAAATTGCACTGGTCCACATATCCGAGCTTCTCGTCCTAGATAGATTGTCAAGTGACCCATAATGTCAAAAAATGGTGGAGGGAAGAAACTTTCCAACATTCATAAAGTCTCAGCAACATCTTCTTCGAGTAGTTTTAATTTATTCCTATCAATCACTCTTTGACATATTTGATTGAAAAAAGTGCACAATCGGAATATTTTATTCCTTGGTCCTTTTGGTAAAAGTCCTCTCGATGGTACTGACAACAATTGTTGCATCAAGACGTGACAATCATGTGACTTGAGGCCTATCAGCTGGCACTCTTCTAATGAAACACAATTAGCAATATTGGAGCTATAACCATCAGGCAACTTGAAATCATGTAACCTAGAACAAAAGGTCTGCTTCTCGACTTTTGAAAATGTATGTGATGTCGGTGGCAAATAAAAATGAGTCCCTCTGTCCTGCGCATGCAATTTGTGTCTAATGCCCATTTCTTCCAAATCTTTACGAACTTTAAGGATATCCTTTGATTTCCCCTTCACATTCAATAGTGTACCATTGATACTGTCGCAAACGTACTTCTCAATGTGCATTACATCCAAGTTATGACGCAAAAGTAATGCCTATAAAATCAATCAAATATTTATTCTTTAAAAAATTAAGAATAACAAATTCAACTAATTTTGAAAATAGGAATTCTTCTTTCTTTAGATTTACATCCCAGTATGGTAAATTGAAAAATATGGACTTCTTCCATGGTTGAATGCAAACTGGCTATTTTACTTTGATGATCTGGAAATTTTTCCTTTTTCTCTCCTTTGTTGCTTTTCCCCATTATTTTCAATGTATTTAACTACATCGAAAACACCAGATCCATTTAATGGTTTAGGCTTCCCTCGAAGTTCTTGCTTTCCATCAAACCAACTTCTTTTCATTCGAAATGGATAGTCGAGCGCAAGAAATTGCCTGTGGCCCATGTACACAGTCTTTTTACTATTACTTAACCATTGTGAACATGTGTCAGTGCTATATATTGGACAAGCAACTTTTCCCTTTATGGTGCATGCAGCTAAGTTTCTATAAGCTGGAAAATCATTTATTGTCCACGTCAAAATAGCCTTCAAATTAAACATGGAGTTGTTTGCTGCATCATAAGCCCTGACACCATCAGTCCATAATTCTATTAGATCTTTTACAAGCAGCTCTGGATAAACATCTATGTTGTTGCCTGGTTGCTTTGGCCCTGGAATTAGTAATGTCAAGATGATATTTTCCTTTGCCATGCATAACCATTGGGGAAGGTTATATGTAACTAACATCACTGGCCAGCAACTATACTTTGAGCTAAGATTGGCAAAATGATTAAACCCATCTGATAAAAGATCAAGTCTAAGATTTCGTGGATCTGATGCAAAAGATGCCCAATTTTGATCGATTGATTCCCATGCTAATGAGTCAACTGGATGTCTCATCTTGCCATCTTGGCTTTTGTGAGAGGAATGCCAACTTAATTGCTTTGCCCTCTCTTGTGACTTGAACATCTTTTTAAATCTTGATATTATTGGAAAACATCACAACACCTTCGCAAGAACCCCCTTTTTAATCTTCTTGGTGCGTTTAACTACTTTCCAACTTGAACAATTGCATTTCGGACATATCCCCTTGAGCTCTAAATCTTTTCTAAACAAACAGCAATCATTCACACAAGCATGTATTTTCTCATATCCTAGGTCAAAGGTTTTGAGCATCTTTTAAACTGAATATACAGATTTGACAAGCGTGTTATCTTCTGGTGGCATATCAGACACTAGTCGAATAAGTTCATCAAAGCTTTCATTAGAATGATCATGTGCAGCTTTATGCTTGTATAAAGCAACAATCGCCGAGAATTTAGTGTACTTTGTACACCCTGGAAATAAAGGAGTTTCAACATCGTCTACTGATTGTGTTAATTCTCTCTCTCTACTTTCACTTGTAGACTCTGCAAAATCATCATCTTTTACATGCACGTCTATGAACATCTTATATGTATTTGAAATTTCCAAATCTTCCTGACGTGACGATGCACTTAGTTGTTCCCCGTGAAGGAACCAAGAAGTATATTTAGGATCCATCCCTTGCATGACCAAGTGCTCATACACAATCTCACAAAATTGGTGAGATAGATTTTGACAATTTCTATAAGGGCAAATGATCATTTCGGGATTCCCTACATTCGCCTTAGCTGTATCTACGAATTTGTGTGCTTCGTCTAGATAATCCTTCGACAATTTGATAATTTTACATCGAAATTTATTATTCCAATAAAATAACCGTAGAAAAGCTTAAAAGTTATTGTGTTTTAGAAAAAAAAACCATGAAAGATGCACCCAAGATTTATCCATCTAGACCCAAGTAATCTCTGGATATTATTGTGTTCAGAGCTACATGTAATCTTTAGATCCAAACCTAAGTAATGAGTCAATTTCCAAAGAACGGTATTCAAAAATCAAAATTATTAAGATGGAGATCTTTATCATTAGATTTTATGTTTTATGGTAATTTTATATTATTGAAATGTGTGTAAACTAATCAGACAACTGATTAAAATTTTTTGGGACGGGGTCGGCCATATTGACGTACTAATTAGTAGGCTGACAATTAGCACCTAGTCAAGATAAATTAACTACATAGTGTATGCTTAGTACCGAAGTATTGATGCTTATTGAACAAAACTAGAAGCTAAGTGCTATGATATCTAATCAGCACATCTTTACACTGCTGGAAAACAGACTTTTAGTGGCTTTTAAAAAATGCCTCTGTAAGTGCCAAAAACGTCGCAAATTCCTTTTGCGACGCTTAGCACCAAACGTCGAGGACGCGGCTGTCGCTATAGCTTTGTGCCGTTTTAAAAACGTCGTGATATTAGTATATGCGACGTTTTTAAAAACGCCGCCAAATGTCCTAAATAACAGTACCATGACGTCACTGTGATATTTAGCTACGTTTTTAAAACGCCATCATATCTTTTTAAAAACATATGATTGTTAGATTTAGGGTTTAAGTGGCGTTTTGAAAAACGCCGTGATATCCTTTTTCATTTTTTTTTTTGTTTTGAAATTGTGCTAATTTTAAACCCATCAAGAAGAATTCAGAGATTCTGAGACAGTTTTCAAACTGCTCTGCAAAAGAAAAACATTATTATAAATGCTTTATAGTATGGTAATTTTAAAGAACTCAGTTGAACAGAAGCTAGTGTAAAAAGAAATTGTTGCAGTTCCGACTAATACATCCAAATGCACAATTCATGTAGTCAAGTAGTCTAAGAGAATACAGCAATGAAAGCTTTCCATAAAAAGCAATCTGCCTTATGAAGCGATGCTCATCACGTGTAACCATTCCACGCATGCCAGCCTGAATAGAAACAGCAGAGGAGTACAATTCTTTATAAGCTTTTCTAGCAAGATGCATACAAAAATCTCTCTGAATTCTCAGACAAGAAGCTTCTCTCCTAATATTCTCGTAAACTTCTCGAGCAAGTTGTCCTGTAATCAGCACAAGGAAAAAATCATTGAGTTATATACTTTCAAGACCTCAGCAACGAGCTATTTAAAGAAGTTTAGCTGAAAAGGCACATCTAACACAATTAACTACCTCTACACACATATTGAATCCGACCAATAAAGAATCTTTGCATCTTATAATTTGTAATTTGCAAAGGGTACCAGACCAATAAAGAATTGACTCAAAAAGGAAAAGAAAACACAAATAAGTAGAATTCCCCTTTACATCCTATGTCCTAATTATCAGTCTATGTAGAGGAAAGAGGAAGGCAAATAGAAGTTACTCCACAAGAATACCTCTGCTCTAGAAAGGTAGAACATAGAAAACGAAACTGACTTTAAATTTATATTTGATAAGCCAATCAACACGTGGTCATTTAGAATATACACAAAATAGGTTGTTGTTCTGGCATCATGCAGTTGAATTTGCTGTGATATAATCATATAACATACACAAAATAGGTTCAGAACAATAGCCGAGCAAATTTGAATGCCATTCATCATCCCAATTTGAACCTCTAGTAGACAGCAGATTACGTCCGGATGATACCGAGGAAGTGTTTCTGCAAAGAATTTAGACAGAATTCTTGTATCAGGCAACTGAGTTACGAATTCAAGCAATCTACTAGTTAAAATTTGTTGATGATTCAATAGAGGGAAAAAATATAGTAAAAAAATATGGTGGTCGTTGTAGAAGGAGAAATAGAGGGAAAAAATATAGTAAAAAAAAAGGCTAGCATGAACATATATCATGACTGGCTAGTCATATATCACCGCAAGGTTAAAGGACAATAAACTAATTATTCTTACCAACACTATATATAGAGAGGGTGTATCCAATGGCAAAGAGATAGTATAACAGTACTTAATAGGATACTAGCAAAACAAATCACAGCTACTAAGAAAAAAAATGTCCAGTATGAGCATGTTCACAATATGTAAACAGTGTTCAAAATACAAAGAGTGGACCAAGGCAAAATTATTTAGATTTTGGAGGGGCCAAAGTAAAATTACATAGATTTTGATTGTTTAGAGGACTCTTCAGATGAAAGTGGAAACAAACCCGACACAAAGGAACATTTGGAAGCACTCAAGAGTGCTTGATGTTCAGCAATAACATAATCTTTGTTTTTGTCCAAAAAAAAAAAAATTCAGTTTGATAGGTGACCTGAAAAATAAATTGAAGTGCAGGTTAATGTTTTTTGTTTCAAAAGTGTATATTCCTAGAGCTGAATGAACCATTAAATAAATACATAAAAGAATAGAAACTTACATCACCAGCATAATGGCAAACCAACAGATAAGCCTACTGCAAGTGAAAGATGTGATGTTCCAAAGATAAAAAAATTTTAAAACCAGGAATTAAAAGTCATGATGTGCTGTTGTGTTATCTGAAGAGAAGCCAGTTTCAAGAATAAAAATTCAAGTTGAGGTAAGAGTAATTAGACAAAGACAACTAGTTCAGTTTGCTTCCATGAATTTTATTTTCCTAAAGTTTCAATAAGCAATGCAACATCATACACAAGATTCAGAATTCAGATTTCTTTTGACTTCTGAAAGGATCTGAATTTGCCACCACGAAATCAGCAACCCTACCAAATTGTGAAGTCCAATCAAGTTTAGGTTTAGTAACCGAACATCAATAATTCTTAAGATAAAATATAACCTCTTGAAATACTACTGGTTATCTAATCAAGATTTGACTAAATTAAAGGAATTGAAATGCACATCAAACAAGCAAACTTACTCAGGTTGGTTGGGTGCATCTTCTGGCTCAATAGTCATCATGTACATATCCTTATTTGGCTCCTTTGCTGGATCTTCCAGGATGTCTCCCATCATTGCCACACCACGGCATGCACACACACGTAAGAGAGAGAGAAATTGATTTACGAAGAGTTATAACAATATGTAGGATCTTAAATTCATCTTCTAAGGGAACAATTCTAAAAAGCTCAAATCAACTAGTTCCAGAAGTTTGACTGGGAAACGCATAGCTTATGTATGCCTTAATTCAAAACAATTAATTGAAAACAGAACAACATATTCAGTCTACATTCGCTGTGAAATGTGAAGGAACATTTCCAGCACTATAGTTGTTCTTCAGTTCTTAGGCCAAAGAAGTACCAGGCTTCAAATCCCAAAAGTCAGGCCCTAGTCTACCCTATAGAGTTTAATAGTGTTACTAATTGCTCTGTAAAACCAAAGTGCCAGTCTCTGCCTGCAGTTCCAGCAAATGTAATGATGAATTGCCCTATGACAGAAATACTTCCCAAATAACTAATTGATTTGTGCTAGTTGCCAGCTGTGCTGCATCACATTGTAAATAAAGAGTAGGCAAACCAGTAATTTCAGTGAGCGAATTTTTATGCTATTGGTACACTTTTAACAGGGGTCTCCAAGGCAAAATTTTTTCTTCAAATATTGCAATATCGGAACAAATCAACGGCAATTACACTCCACCCCCTAATGCTGGCAATATGTATGGAAAAAAATTCAAGAAGTTTCAATTTGAAGTTAATAACAACTCACAAAACAAAACGAAGGAAGTTAAGACACGTTGAAAATAGCCAACTTCTGCAAATGAACAAATAACCTTTCTCTCATTATTTGAACCAGTTTTGCATGTATCTCATCTCTGTGGATTTTATAATCCTAGAAGTTCAAAAGAATAAAAACTGTGAGATCCCTTGTATGAAGTGAAGCACTAAAAAATTACAGTATTTGTCATTCACTGTCAAAAACATGATCCTCATATTATAAATGGCTCAAAAAAAAGAAAAGAAAAAAAAAAATTAAAGCCCAATGCTAATGATGCTAGCTGAAGCATAAGACATTCAACTTGTAGTTGCATCATTTTTCTTATTATTACTTTTATTGTGGCTAAAGCAATATATAGTGTTTTCCTTCCAAAAAAATGTCCTTTGTTGACAGGGAAAGAACCTTGAACAAGCTCATAAGCAAGTTACATATGAACTTTCTATCAATTGCTTAGTTCGTGTGCAGCTCCAAATAATAATATAATATTCAACTCAACAAATCTTGGTCCCAATTGTTTTAAATCAGCTAGAATGAAAAATCCCTTATTCATAGTCATAGAAAATAGAATAAAACATAAGCAAATAATATAAGATGGATACCACAAGAGTAGCCAAGCTTTTCTAACATTTGCGAAGAAGAAGAAGAAGAAGAAGAAGAAGAAGAAGAAAAAGAAGAAGAGGATGCCAACGTAGAGGCACCAGAAAAGAAGAAACCCTTTTATATTTATTTTTCTTTTTTTTGTGATAGGCAGTCAACAATAAATCCCTTATCAATGTAGTTCATGGAAACAATCACATTACCCAGCAATGTAACAACAAAAAACCTCCACATATCAGTCATTCCTAGTAATTCTCCAAATCAAGACTACATGCACCTCTACGACACATGAATGAACTTTCACTTTACAAGTTTAAGTCAAGATATAATTACCTGAAAACAACAATCTTGAGGAAAACCACTGCATCCAATCCCCCAGAAGCTAATATTTCTTCTTCAGATGCTTCCCAGGTCATTACTATCCAACTAGGAGATGGAACAAATCTGTCAAAAGAGAAATGGTTGTTGCGTTTTGCCCGTAACTGAGCAAGCCTTTGTCCAAAGTACACACTTGCATTGCTGGGCTGTTTTCTCAAAATGGAGTATAGTGCAAAAGCCACAAGACAAAAGCCTGTATTGATACCAGCAGAAGTTAAGAGGCCAGAAATATCCATCTCTGTCCAATATATTTGCAACCTTTTGGTGTGTCATTAATCATGAATATCATGTAAGTACACCATACGACAAATCCTGCGAGTATTAAAAGCCCTGGAACTCCAGGAAGAAGTAGCTTTTTTGGCACTGATGTAGGAGCTGCAAAAGTTACAATTTCATGAATGTTAGAATGTTTACAGCATTTGTGCAGACACCAATGGAAAACTATGCTTAACATACCTGTAAACCGCACGGCATGGAAAATGCATACGGCTATATTTAAAACTCCATTATTTTTTTCTTTTGTTTTTTCATTTTTATTAGTAATGAATTGTTATTGTTAAAAAGAAATGACACAAAACAATGGGTCTTAAACAATCAATGAACCCATATACATATAGATGCTTTACAAATGTTTGAACTCAAAAAAAAAAAAAAAAATGCATCCAAACAGAGCATAACTTGTATGCATTGATTAACAACAATTTTCTACACAAACTAAGCAGAGGATAACAAAGAAATCCAGACGCACTTGGTAACAAAATGTATTCACATATTCAATTAGAGAAGACTGTTGAACTGTTAAAACTCAACAGCTCTGCATCTTTTTCTTCTTTGGTGATTGGTAATAAAAACTCACCAGCTCTTCAGTTCTGCCTTGTGCCACTTTTATCAGTGCCTGAACATCACAGACTGTTGATACATCATTTTCATGCCACTAAAAAGTACCAACCAAATGCAAAAATGTTGGCTTGGAGTAAACCTAGTGCTAGTGGCATAACAAATGGACAAATTTCTTACAACATTCTTCATTGCTAATGTAGGAACTTTAAAAAAAATAATAAAGAAAGAAAAGAGCTCCTATACTAAAAACCCGTTGATAGATCCTCCGAAACTAGTAGAATCCAGATTTACATACACATTTAAATTTATACAAAAATAACGAATATATACACACATTTATATCTTTGTTCTCTTGTTTGTTTATCAAAACATTCCCGTACACACAGTGTCATTTTTTTTTGAAATTTAACTTTTGGCCTAAAGTTCTAAAATTGTCTTTTAATTTGGCAGTCTTTGCTAAACAAGATTTTCATCATGCAGAAAATGGGTTTTTGGACTCTACTTGAAGGCTTTCTGCTCCTAGCAAATGCTCTCGCAATACTAAAATTCCCGTACACACAGTGGCATTTTTTTTGAAATTTAACTTTTGGCCTAAAGTTCTAAAATTGTCTTTTAATTTGGCAGTCTTTGCTAAACAAGATTTTCATCATGCAGAAAATGGGTTTTTGGACTCTACTTGAAGGCTTTCTGCTCCTAGCAAATGCTCTCGCAATACTAAATGACGAGTGGTTTCTAGGTCCAAGAGGGTGGAGCTTCTCAGACTTCTCTGGAGGCAAGACAAAGTCATTTAAGGGGCAGCTCATAGGTCTTTTTTATGCAACACAATACTTGAGAGTTCCTCTGATACTCCTCAACAGTATTTGTATCATTTTGAAAATGGTGTCTGGATGATGTTGCAGCACCAAGTAGTGTTAGATTGAGCTTGTGTTAGTCTTAGGTGATCTCGTCACAAAAATAAATGCCTATTATGCTATCTGGCCTTGCAGGTGATGTCCAAAAATAAAAAAATTTCCTGGAAAATATTATCAACTTCTTCTTGGAAAATGTTTTTAAAAGCCCGATCACTTCAATATCAGAATCTCCTTGTTAAGAATAATATTGTAGTACTGAACATCTATATTGTTAGATTTCCAATCAATCATTTCTTCATAGAAACAAAAAATGCTAATTACGTAGAGGTGATAAATGAGGAGTTTGAGGAAATAAAAATTTTACATATCAGAAGGTTCGAAAAATAGAGGTGATAAATGAGGAGTTTGAGGAAATAAAAATTTTACATATTAGAAGGTTAGAAAAAATGTAACTAATATTTTAGGTAAGCTAAACAGTGACATAGTGAGGGGAAAGAAAACGAAGAAACCGAACATTTATATATACACACACACACACAACACAAATAAGCAATAGATCTCAATAACCAAATCGAGAGAGACATGAAGGAAGAGCTTGAGAGAGAGAGAGAGAGAGAGAGAGAGAGAGAGAGAGATCAATACCTCGCGGTGAAGCTTCGAAATCGAGAGAGAGAACTTCAAAATCGAAATCGCTCTGAGATCGATCTGAAAAATCAAGCACAGCCTCTCCTGAGATCACTTCCTTTGCGATCGAAACCAACCCCTCTTCTCTCTTCGCAATCTCCCAGAGCTTCAGATCGATATCGTAGAGAACAAAGGATGAATCGAGAGAGAGAGAGAGAGAGAGAGAGAGAGAGGAGCTTCATCGATACTGCTCTGATGAATCTGTATGAACCTCAAAGATTAATCTAAAACAAAATCGCTCTGAATCGAAATCGCTCTGAATCGAAATCGCTCTCATGGGTTTAGAAGCAATTGGGGGTGAGCAAGAGAGAGATGTGAGGATTGTGAAGGCGTGAGATTCAAAATGAGGGTTTACAAAGCTTTAACACGTATTCTAAGATTCAAAATAGGCGCGTGAGGTACAACACATTTGGAGGCGATTTTAAACGCCTCTTATTTAAAAACGGTGTCGTTTTATTAAAACAATATGCGACGTTTTTATAAAACGTCATTAAATAATAATAAAAGTGACGTTTAAAAAAATGCCGTCTAAACTCATTTTTCTTGTAGTGTTATTACCGTGCAATTTGTTATTGAAGCATAGTTCCACGGAAAAAGAATAACACAAAGTCCTAAACATAGAATTACTCAAAGGTGAAGCACATTAAAATAAGTGGGTGAAAATAGGGTAGATCAAGCAGCTGGCACATTAGCTAAATTCATTCAATCATATGAACAACAAACAGGAAAGGAATGAAGAATAGAAAGAAAGAAAAGTACTGAAATAAGTCTAAAATAGACTAAAATACTAAAATACTAAGAAAACATAAATAACTATAGGAAGTGTGAGCTTATAATAATCATTGAACAAAATGAAACTATCTTTAGCAATCATTTCAAACTTCAAAGGGTAGAGACAAACTCAACTGCTATGCCAAGAAACCTAGAGAAAACTGAACACGGAACAATGCCAAAAAACAAGATTGTCTTTTGTATTGAACACGAGAAATGTTGGAAGAACTGTAATTAACAAAACCCAATTGTGCTTTTATTGACAAAACATTAAAGCTAACTACGACGTGCATTTAATTCAAAGGAATCTATCTAATCTCTTGCCTCCAAAAGATGAATCATGAATTTAATTCCTTTGAAAAAGGCTACAAAAATCCTATTTTGTCATTCCACTTGATCAAGGGTGTAAAATTAATCTAAGTTATGCACTCAAGAAGTGGGTAATTGCTATGCTACTTGTCAAATTTTGTCCTCGTCTTTTGTTTGCATAAAATTTCTAATTTAAAGCTCAAAAGGAAAAAAGAAAAGAAAAGAGAAACCTCCCATTTGGCTTTATAAAACTTTAAATTTTTTTTTTATTATTTAACTATCTTGTACCTGGTGGTGTCACTAATTTTAGTAGATTACAAGAAATTTGCTAAATCCCAAAAATGAGATTTGACAAATAGTCAAGTTCTCACAATCTTTATATATCTTAAAACATTATTTTGACCATTTTCCTATTTATTTAGGATCAAGCCTCCATATGGGGCCCGTAATTCATATCACAAGTATAGAGTCTATCTGAACCGTTGGCCCAAGGTTCGTGGTGTTGCTATGAATCAGGTGGAGCATCCTCATGGTGGTGGTAACCACGAACACATTGGCCATGTCATTACAGTTCTCTGTGATGCCCTTCCTAGCTATAAGCTTGGTCTCCTTGTAAGGAGGAGGTTTCGAGTCAAACTACTGCTACTACTACAAAAGCTGATAAGAGTACTTAAGGTTCGTTTGAGAATTTTTTTTTTATGGTTCTTTGATTTTTTACAAAAAGACATACAAAAAAGTAAAAAAAATAGTTGACTTTTTATGGTGGCTTTTTGACTAATTTAGCCACTTCTCAAACAAAGCCTTAGATAGTGTTACTATATGAAGTTTGTTAGGGTTATGGTTTGAGGTTTAGGATAACTTGTGCTATAATATATATTTTTTTAACTTTTTATTTGGAATCAGCTACTTGGGATTTTAAAGTTATGATTAATGTTTGCTGTTGGTGGAATATAGGCACATTTCAGATTATTTCTTGCTATTGGAATGGAGTTACTCATGTTTGATAACCTGTTGGCTGCTTAAATGACCAGTTTAGACTAACTTCACTGGGCATTACCAAAATGAAATAAAGTTATAATTTAGTATGTTATAGTATTAAAATGTCAAATTTTGATAATATTTCTACAAATGTCATTTTGGCACATTTAGATTACAATGTGAAAACTATTATGAGTAATGAAATGCCAAATTATGACCATGTTGCTCTATTGGTGCAAATGTGATTTTGGCATATTTAGATTATTTATTTATTTTTTGTGTGTTCTCACGTTTATGTTTGGTATGATGAAATGGAATGAGAGTGAAAATGAAATAGAAAGTTAAATGGAATGAATGCTCATTCCAATTCACTATTAGGATGCTAACATGAGCATTCATTCTAAAGGTGGCAGTAGCCAATAGAGGACAAACTAAGAAGTCATTAATTCAAAGGATGGCACTAAATCAAGGCTCTGTATACATTCTCTGAATTTTGCCTGGCCCTGCTGAGTTCTGCTGGCATGACTTCGCAACGAAAGTTTGGAAAAATTGATTCAAAGTAATATGTAGTTAACAGTAACACAAATTGAAATCATATAACAAAAGATTAGCATACACACAAAAATTCACACTACATTGCAATAACAAATAAGAAGCAACCAAGCAAAATCAAGATAGACAGACCTGGAAGTGGAATGGAGAATGCAGAGAAATTCACAACCAAAAAAAAAGAAAAAAAATTGCTATCTTATTAGTGAATCAATGAAGTTCAATTTGTGAATCAATGAAATCAATGAAATAAAAAAAAAAAATACAATCGTAGAACTTATCAGTGAATCAATGCAGAAACAAAGCAACAAAACACAACAATTTCAGACAAATCTAAGGGTTTCAATTTCCTCCAAACCAATGTTTGATCAAATATGAAATTGCTATCTCATTTCTCTCTCTAGAAGTACGAATTAGTTACCTGGTGAATGAGAGAGGAGAGATCGGAATGGACGAGAAGGAGGCGATCAATGGCATCGTTTTTTTATTAATCTTCGTTCACAGGTTCATAGATGCCGATGGAGAGAGAGAGAGAACGAACTGAACCGGGGTTAACAAAGCAAAAACAATATTAATAAAAAAAATCTGGAAGGTAATGAATGTGTAACCTCAACAATATTAATAAGTAAATAAAAATTGAAGTAAAAAATTTAGACAAAAAGATTTTATGTATAAGTTTATAAATTATTTTTGTATTAAAAAATTGTACATTATAAATAGAATATCTACTGGATTTTATAAATAAAAAAATTTATCATATCTACTAGAAATTTATAAATATCTAAGAACATCTAGAATTTTTTTTTTTATTATTTATAATTAAAATATAATTTGGCAAATTTTTTTTAAAAAAAAAACACTTATTGATTTATAAGATTATGAATTTTTGAGAGAGAAAATAATTTTTTTTAAAAACTTTTTTGGTTAAATTATAAACACACCCCCTGAGGTTTACTTAAATTACAAATTACTCCCTGTGATTCTAGAATTTACATTATGCCCCCTAAGGTTTCTAATTTCATAACAGATAGATCCTTTTATTAATAAATCATCAAGTTAATTAACAATTTTTAATAATGTTAAAATTTTATTTCAATTAATAATTTAGATAATTTTATTATTGTATAGGTGATCATTTAGAAATTTCACATTTTCAATTAATTCTGTTAAATAAAAAATTATGACAGGGAGGTATTTGTAATTTTTCAAACCACAGGCGGTAGCCCAAAATTTTTCTGGTAAGAATTTTCACTACATACTAATGCATGCCGTGTAAAATTATGATATATTATAACGTAAAATGCATGTCATCTTGAGTATAAATATTTCACGGCATATTTTTTTAAATCGTGAAAGTATATAAATTATTTTT